TCCCCCCTCCCCCTCTCCCTCCTCCCCCTCCTCCTCCTCTGCCCCCTCCCTTCCCTTCTTACTCCTCCCTTCCGGGCTCCCTGGTAACTCTTCCAGGAGAGGTGAGGGGCCCCAGGTGGCTCTTCCCGGAGACCCGCCCAGGGCCGGTCACGGAACAGGAGCTCTCCAAATGGCAGTTTTCTCCAAATCGGAGGATTTAATGTTTTACAGGTTAAAATCTCTGACGTGAGCGAGACCGCTCCCAGTGGACAGAATGTCCGTGAGTTTCTGCAGGGGTGTCGTGGGCTCTCTGTGTCTGAGGGTCACTAGCGGGATGTCCGCCGCGTTCCTGCCCAGGTGCCCTTCACACTCGTGCCCACCAGGGAAGGGCTAGGCCCCTCGGGCACCACCCCCCATGTTAGACTCCTCAGAGGCCAGACCGGGAAGCAGAAGGATGCAGGAAACACGCCCTGTTTATTAGCCACACTTGGCCCCTTTCCCATGTGCTCAGAACCTCGACGGTCACATCTGTAAAACACCTCACGTGTCTGCAAGGCACACCCTTCAGCAGCGAGGTCTTTCCCTGTGCCCTTTCCAAATCTGAGAGCGGCTTTGAAATGGTGGGAGGCACAGCATTGCCGAATTGTGTGAAAGGCAGCTTTTTCTGAAGAATGCATAGAAATCTCAAGGTCCTTCCTGGCAAAGAAGCGTGTCCCTGAAGCTACATTTTTTGTTTTTGTTTTCTGGCGTGAGCCAAGACATCAATGATGCTCACTTATTTTGACAGACGTTTTTGTCTATTACAGATCATTCACCCGGCAGCTTGTGACTCGTCCTTTATACTGTTGAGCTAGAAATTCCACTAGATGGACCCAAATATCTATTCAAACGTAGTGTCTTTTCTACAAAGACCTGATCATGTTTGCTTGGAGACCTTGTAACTGCAAACACAAACAAAATAGTTGTGATGGGTTCTGGAGTCACCGATGCTGAAGGGAGAAAGTGCATTCTCTGTATTTTTTTTGGTACAGATTAAAGTTTATATTTGCTCTGAAAAAGAGATGTATTCTTCCAGTTTTAAAATATTTGCATTACAGAAAAACAATAACACTGAAGCAACAGTAACCATAAATAATTACGTAAAAAATTGAAAATTAGAATTATAAAATTGAGCACCTTCATGTTAAATACTATTCAGTACTTTTAGCCTTAAAGAAACAAGGCTCACAGTTTATGATTTTAATATGAATTCCAAGAGTGTGAAACTGTTGCCAAGTGGCTTGGACCTGGCACCGCAGCCTCATTAACGGGAGAACTTTGCACCGAGTAACCTCCTCCCCTCCCGACCCCCCCCCCCCCCCCCCCCCCCCCCCCCCCGCCCTCGTCCGGACACGTAGGAAAAATAAAATAAACCATCTGGGATCACAGCAAAGCTGCCGCAGGACCGCACGGGTGAAATCCATTGTTTCTATTTTTTTTTTTGGAGGATGGCACACTATTTCCTCTGGGACACTATCTTGGCATCACGGAAAGAGAAAGTAGCCACATTTTTAAAGGCAAAATCCCCCTTTGTTTGCCAAATGGGCACAATTTTACCCGTCACAGTAGAGGCATATTATTTAAAAAGCAGAGTTTTGTCCTGTTCAGCTGCGCATATTTTCTTCCATGAAGACATGTTTCCCGGCAGTGTTGCTGGGTCCCCAGCCTTACAGCATCAGGATGCTTGGGGACGCTCCCTCTTCTGGGACAGCCGGTGTGTGTGTGTGTGAAGTGCTGGACAAGCCTGGCGCCTTGCGTGCTGCTTATGGCCCTGTCATTCTAGACCTTTCTTGGTATTTCCAATGTTTCCCCCTCAAGTGTAAGGCACTAATGAATGCTTTTTTTTTTTTAATTCTTACAGTGTTTTCACAAATGGAAGACTGTTTATCCCACCTGTAAAAATTATCATACCCAAATTCAGTCTGATGGAATGGAATAGCGTGCTGGCCATGATTGGAGAAAAAGTCTTCCCTCTTGGAGGCGTTCGAAAGTAAGGCTCTGTCACCTGGGCAAGACCCGGTCACAGCGTGGGGATGTCCTGCTGGGACCAGCAAGGGCTACAATGTTCCCTCATTAACCCTGATTTTAATTCTTTGGGGTAGATGCTATTTCCTGTCCTTTTACATACTTATTTTTAACCAGTTTCTTTCATTTTTTTTTAAATTTTTCAGTGTTTTATTTATTTCTAGGAGAGAGAGACAGCGTGAGCAGGGGAGGGTCAGAGAGAGAGGGAGACACAGAATCTGAAACAGGCTCCAGGCTCTGAGCTGGCAGTCAGCACAGAGCCCGACGCGGGGCTCGAACCCACGAACCGCGAGATCATGACCTAAGCGAAAGTCGGACGCTTAACCGACTAAGCCACCCAGGCGCCCCTTTCATTTTTTATGGAACTAAGTTTATTGAACATCTACCATGTGCTAGGTGTGGTGAATGGGGCAAATGAGGCCATGGGGATGCACAGAGGTGGGGTGGACAGTGGTGGGTTGACAGAGTTGGGACAGAGGTGAGGCGGCCATTGGAGTGGACAGAAGTGGGATGGACAGAGTGGGGACAGAGGTGAGGTGGCATTGGGGCTAGGGAGAGGCAGGGTAGCCATGGTGATGGGCAGTGGTGGGTGGACAGAGAGGGGTGGACAGAGGTAAGGTGGCTATGGGGCCAAGGAGAGGCAGAGTGGCTGTGGCTGGTTATGGGGGTAAATCCAGGGACAGTTCGGTGGACTTAGACCAAGGGCCTGGTGTGGATCAGAGGGAGAGTGTACCACAAGGAGAGAGAAGTGGGAGCAGCAAGGCTAGCAGGTTGTAGAGGGAAAAGTCAAAGCCTCAGTGCTGGGGATGCTGCTGAGAATGAAGAAGTCCAATATCTTTCATGGGAGTGAGTTCATATCTTGCATGGGAGTGAGTTGACATCTTGCATGGGAGTGAGTTGACATCTTGCCGGGAGTGAGTTCATATCTTGCACGGGAGTGAGTTCATATCTTGCACGGGAGTGAGTTCATATCTTGCACGGGAGTGAGTTGACATCTTGCACGGGAGTGAGTTGACATCTTGCACGGGAGTGAGTTGACATCTTGCATGGGAGTGAGTTCATATCTTGCATGGGAGTGAGTTCATATCTTGGATGGGAGTGAGTTCATATCTTGCATGAGAATGAGTTCATATCTTGCATGGGAGTGAGTTCATATCTTGCATGGGAGTGAGTTCATATCTTGCATGGGAGTGAGTTCATATCTTGCATGGGAGTGAGTTCATATCTTGCATGGGAATGAGTAGAGAAAGCACAGGGAAGACACAGCCTTCAAAACTGAAAAATAAGGGATGTGGAATGGTCCCAAGTATTGGAAGTACCATCTTTAGGGACAGTGATGATCTCCAGGTGGCCCTGGGTTGGAACAGCCAAAACACTTACTCTTGTTTCACTTTCTGTCACTGATCTCTGTTGGGGGTACATTATGGTGTAAACACTGATTCATGATCAGCAGTTGTGACACCAGTGATGAAGACTGAGGGTCTGTTGTGAGCAGGACCTGCTGGGAACACCATTAACCTAGTGAGGGTGGTGAGTCACAGGTGACCCTGCACGCGCAGGGGAGTTAGATGTCACCTAAAAACCAGATGATTCCAGAATGCGGTTCTACATACCAGTGTTTCATTCTGACAGAAAGAGAGATAATCATGTGGGGCAGACACACTTGTGTGCGCTTCTGGAAGGAGCCAGCAGCAATCGTGGAATTAATCCCATGTGTCACAAGAAACGTGGCAGAAGTGAAGCAAGGAAACACGATATGTGGAGGGGAAAGAGGGCATTAGATTAATAAGCTTATTACTCCCCCCCCTCCCAGCCCCCCTAGTTCTTTCCTGTTGGGTTTAGGGAAGGTGCAGAGCTTGGGAATGGAAGCCGTGCTTGGCAAGCACAAATAGCAAGCTTGCTTGGTCCTGTCGCCGCGTGAACAGAACACAGCTTTCTGAGGACGTCTGTGCTGACAAACACGTGGGCACCGGTCTTGTCTTGTGAGGCTCCCCTTGCTCCAGGGCTGGTCTGCAGCGCCTGGCATTTCTGGAAAGTCTGAGTGCAGCGTCCTCAGGGTCCCGGGGGTCCTGAAGCTCCAGCACCACGGAGAGCTCCCGCCCCCCCCCCCCCCCCCCCCCCCCCCCCCCCCCCCCCCCCCCCCCCCCCCCCCCCCCCCCCCCCCCCCCCCCCCGACCGTCAACTCCCGTTCCCCTTCCCGTCCCTGCCAGGTCGTCTCCGTTCTGAACGGATTTCCTACCCCCCCTCCCGCCCAGACAAGAACACAAGCCTGCTTTCCTCCTCCTTGGCCTCCCCCTCAACACCCCCCGGCCCCGTGCTGAACTCTGGGTTATCAGGAATGTGTTCCCTCTGATGGAACTTTATTTAATGACAACACAGACGGTGCCCACGAGCACGGCCGCCCTGCTTCGCGAATCCCTTCCAGCGTCTCTGGAGGCACTTTCCCCTTTTTACCTAACCCCGCCCTGTAGACACGTTCTTGCTGTGGGTCCCTGTGGCCAACCTTCCGAGGCCTTGTCGAGGTGGCGTTACTTTTCTCAGGCCTCCCGTTCAACTGAGGGCTTGGCTCGCTTCAAATTCTTTCCTTTCAGATTTTGAGAAAATAACCGTCGTTGTCTCCTGCCTTCGGTGCTGCTGTTGAAAACCCTCATGCCAGCGGGGCTCTTGCTCCGAGAGCATCCTTAAAAGTCCCCCCGATGTGCCTACCTGTGAGTTTTTCTGTGGCCTCTTGATGTCTGTTCAAGACATCTTTCAATTTGAAGTCCTCGCCCTCTAATTCTGTGAAATTCATCTTCATTATTTCTCTACATGGTTCTTCCTTTCCACTCTTATTTTTTGAGATTCTTACTTTCTGGACCTTGGCATTCCTACACATCCATATTTCTCAGCTTTTCTCTTACACACCTTCTCTCTCACCGCTGCTTCCTTCTGGGAGACCCCTCTATTCTGTGCCCCACGAGCTTGGACCTCATGTGCTCCCCATCTGCTCTGCGTCTCCCGTCCTCCTCGCCGTGCGCTTGTATCCACGACTGCGGTTCCACATCCGGATTTCCGGTTCTTTTCTACACTCTCTTGTTGTTCCATATCGGTGGCGTCTGCCCTTATTTCGTCTACAGTATTATTCAGGTTTATGTTAAATTCGTGGTCCATCTGCTCCAACTCTTCCGCTCCTGGGGAATCCACCAGACGTCGCCCGTGGGGCCTGGAGGGCAGCCCGGAGCAGGGTCTGCGAGCAAAGACCCTGGCACTGCCGCCGCTCAGTCCGTCTGCCGCCCCGCGCCCGCGCCCCGCCCCGCGCCCCGCCCCGCGCCCCGCCCCCAGCACCCCGAGCCCGCGCCCCGCCCCGCGCCCCGCCCCCAGCACCCCAAGCCCACGCCCCGCCCCCAGCACCCTGAGCCCGCGCCCCGCCCCGCCCCGCCCCCAGCACCCTGAGCCCGCGCCCCGCCCCGCCCCGCGCCCCGCCCCAAGCCC